AATATTTGAAAAAAATAACTTATTTACGAAAACTAATTTTCCATAATAATTTAAAAAATAGGGAAAATTACACACACCTCCCCTGAGGTCTGTTAAAATGACCCTGGCACCTCCTCTAGTTTTTAAATAAGCACTTACCTCCCTTAAGGTTTATTAAAATAACATTGACACTCTCTCTAAGATTTAGTGACAGTAAAAAACCGTAGGTATAGATGACGTTTACCTACGGTTTTCAGTCTGTCACTAAAATTTTTGTTGGCATATGTACACTTAAGGGAGGTTAGTGCATGTTTAAAAATTAAAGGGGGGGGGGGGGGGGGGGGGGGGGGGGGGGGGATGTTAGTGTCATTTTAATAAACCTCAAAGGAGGTGAGTGTAATTGTTCCTAAAAAATATGGTATTAATAGTGTTCAATTGTAAATATTAGACTAGCAATATTTTTTTAATAGATTCAAAAATATTTAACAATAAAAATATCTAACATAAAGGCTTTTGAATCTATAATTAGTCACTTGAGTTAATATGATAATGAATAACTCTATGATAAGTTACCACAATGTACTAATAATTTTCTAATAACAAATTAAAATAGCATAAATTATCCACATACAACATTTCACTTTTTTCTTCTTAAAGTTGAATGCTTGGTAATAATTTTCATGATATTAATTATGATTGGTTTAGATTGGATTTGCGGATAGAAAATTGAAAATCTGATGCCCGAACCAATAGTCATTGAATTTCATTGGTTTGGTTTTGTTCTTGCCCGAAGTGAAAAAATGTCAAACCCAAACACTATGGTTTGGATAGGATTCTGATTTGGTTCGGATTTACCAAAACCAATAAACACCCCTAAAATTTTAATATGTAAGTCAAACATACTTTATACTACTTCCTCACAAAATGTTTCATAATTGTTAAATTTAAAAATAAAAAAAGGGCATACATGGTTGTGTGTTATAAGTGTTAAAATTTGATGATCCCATTGAACAACATACTTTCTATAATCTTGTTATGAATTGTTTCAAATGTCAACAACCAAGTGTGTGTAATGTAGTTCCCTTTCTCATGATTGCAGAACACCATAACATATTCATGTTGGAAATAATTTATATTTTAGGAATATCTTGTTCACTAAGTCTATTAGAGGGTATTTTAGTATTTTATTATACCCTAATATTTATGTATAAATAACCTAGTAGTATGTAGGTTAATGTATCTATTACTCCTTATTTTTTAGCCATCATTTAATATATTCATTTTATCTTTCATCTCTCTTTATGCACCAACAATTGGTATCAGAGCCCCGATTTGAAATCCACGGGGAAACACAGGAAGCACGAGTGAACAGTGAGGTGTTGTGTGATTGAGAATCACACTTTTTTCTGATTTTGTGGGATTTGGGAAACACTATGTGTTAGTGAGTTTTTGAGTGAACTGCACAAGGTTGAAGATGAATGGAAACGACGATATCAGTTCTAAACTTCTAGTGTTTGATGGTAAAAAAATGGAATCGTTGGAAGATCTAGATGCGTGTGTTGTTTGGTTCTCAAGATGTGTTAGATCGCATCACCGATGTATATGTTTCATTAGCAGTAGACGTGACGGAGGCACAGAAAACAACGCAGAAGGCGATAAGGAAGAAAGATTAGAAAGCATTATTCTACATCCATCAGTGCATGGATGTGAATGTGTTTGAGAAGATTGTTGACTATGAAAAAACAAATATTGTGTGGGACACACTAGTCAGATGTTACGGTAGTGACGCATCAGTGAAGAAGGTGAAGCTTTAGTCCCTTAGAAAGCAATATGAGAATCTCAACATGAAGGACAACGAGAAGGTTTCTGAGTACATCTCTAGAGTGATTTTGATCACTAATAAGATGAAAGCTTGTGGAGAAACCCTTGATGAACAAGTAATCATAGAGAATGTATTAAGATCTTTAACTTCTCACTTTGATTACATCATGGTAGCAATTGAATATTCCAAAGATCTGAGCACCATGAGAGTTGAACATTTAAGAAATCTTTAAAGTCAGAAGAAACAATAAAAAAGTTCACATGGGTAAAAAAAGATTCTACAAACTTTAGAATAGTAACATGCATTTTAAAATAGATCACAAAATAGTAGAGTTGAGGATGATGATTACATGAACTTATAATCATAGAGTTGATCTTATATTAAAAAATCCAATGGTAGGCTTCTACCCTACCCGACCCGTATCCGATAACCGCAAATGCAACGTGATAGAGCTCCAAAAACTATTATCCAAATGGAACACCGTAACACCATTATTAATCTTCTGCTTGAATTTTACTTCCCAAATATCAATGTTATAGTTGCGAACCCTTGGTACATAGTGGAAGTATCACAACAACAATGGAAACCAACTCCAATGACATGTAACAAATTTATCACCAATTACATTCACCCAACCCACCAATATGTTTTTAGTTGAACCATTGACACTTTGTGTGGTACGAGTGATCAGACATTTCCATGGTTTGTTTTGTTTACTTTTCTATTTTATGATGTTTTTTTTATAATTTAGTTTATTTTTGTCTTTATTTGATTTTCATATTTTATTTTCAGTATTAGCAAATTTCAATAAAAAATTATAACTGGAGCTACGAGAATTGGATCGACACGTTCAAATATGAGTTGGAAAACTGAGAGAAAGACCTACAACTTTCAAGTTGGAGTCAAAAGTTGATTCGGAGTGAATAATTTTCAGTAATTCTTTGAAGTTCCTGACTTTAGAAATTAAGTTGTTTTAGGTCATTTGTTGGGCTTGGGTTAAGTTTTCCGACCCAATTTGTTTTAAAATTGAAACCCTAATTCTGTTAAAAAGCATGAGTTGCAATACTATTCATTACCTTCGTTTCACGATAAAACTTTGCTTGTATGAGTCGTTCATGGAGAACTAATATTAAGGGCAATCTACCAAATTCGAATTCCACAAAACTTTGAGGTTCTTATCAATTTTAATTCAGTTCCTTTCTAATTTATTCTATGATTTTCGTTTGCTTAATCTGTTTCTTATATAATAGATTGAATTTAATTCGGTTGAGATATATGTTCTTTACTTTAACCGCGTCTAACTTAGCTTTTTCGTTAATTCGCGCTATCTTTAACCGTTTGCTTAATTCGATGAATTGTTTGCTAAATTCGGTGATTAGGAACATAACTCATGTAGTATTGTTGAGGCTCGTTCCATCAATATTGCAATTGAATAGGAATTGGTACCACTTAGGGAATTGAAATTGTAATGACCAATGATAAGTTGGAAGTAGAACCAATAGATTACTTATTCTATAATTACTTATTTTCTTTGTTTTTCTGTTATAATCACTTATTTTATAATTACTTGTTTTCTCAGTTTTTCTGTTAATTGAAACTCAAACCCCCCATTGTTCCAATCCGTTGGTTAATAATAATACAAGAATCCTTGAGAATGATACTCAAGTTGTCGTTACCGTTAACTATATTTTCCAAAAATACTCGTTTATGATTTATGCGCGACAACGAATCAAATTGGCGATATTACCGGGGATTCTTGTTGTTATTAACTGATATTAGAGTCATAGATATAGTGTTCTTGCTTACATTTTTCTTGTTTTTTGTTATGTTTTTTTATTTTCAGGGTTGCAATACGGGTTGCAGTATAGTGGCAAGTATTTCAGCGTATTAGGTAAGTTTAGAAGCTACTGTTTCGATTTGCTCCGAATTTTTTCCAGAAATTCTGAAAAAAAATCGACGAACATTGTAGGACTTCAGATGCGACTATGCTATATGCTTCTAGGAATCAATAAAAATCCAGCATGATGCATAAAAGAGGTAAAACCAGGATCCAAGGGATACCTAACGGAGAAATGTATGTTGCCTCTTCAAAGCCACGTAAGCGATGAGAAAACTCTGCAGAAGCTTCACATAAGAGATCAAACAAACTAATTCCCAAGGCATTTTGTATCACAAAAGTTGCACCAATATTCTGTCGCAAAGCTAGCACATCGCATGGACATTCAATGAAACATAAAGTCTATTTTTATCAAGTTTATGAGACTTTTTATGAACCTAACCAAAAGCATATACTCAACCATTTATTCGAGGATCAGAACTTGTCATTAAACCACTCATCATGCCAAGGAAATTAAATCAAGGATAAGGAATCGACAAGAACACCTCAAAAAACCAAATTCTAACCATTTTCAACATTTAATCAATTAAATCCGAAAAATAATAAAAAAATCTGGAAATAAAATGTCACAAAGTTAGGGACTAACATATTAATATCCACACAAAATTTTAGCAAAAAATTATGAAAGAAAGTATCAAAATTAATTACACAAAAAGGAGAAACAAAGTGAAAATTGAAGAAATAGCAAGGTGATATGTTAGACTCCGTAGGGGTGTGAGGACTGAAATGCGCTTGGGCCCTTGGCTATGAAGCCCACAGTCTTGGAAGCAAAATAACCAAAAATGTTAGCCTTGTGAACAAACCAGAGGGTGTACGCAGGAAGTTGTATGGGCCAGCACTTGTTTGAGGCCCAACGTGCCTCATGGATTAAGCACATCAAAAATTAAAACAAAAATAAATAATGGAATTAAAAAAACTGTTATAGCCAAAACGACACCGCATTCATGCAAGGATTAGTGACCCTTGGACTTCTTTAAAAATCCATTCCCTCCCTCTCTATGCTCATTCATCTTCTTCTTTGCATTTTAAATTCCCTCCGTGTAACCACAACCAATCCAACGGTCAAACCTTCTTAAATCAATAATCTGTAAACACTAATCCTGACCGAAATCCACCCCCGAGTCTGAATCTACCCTTACCTTTCATCAATTTCTGTTAATTTTCATAAATCTACAAAGCTAGTTCTAAACCCTAGGTCCTTTGATCTCAAATTGAATTCTCCATACGAATCTTCAGCGCTCGATTCTATTGGGTTCGATTCTTCTAATCTCACTCTATGCAACCATATAAAGAACGACAAAAATGGTGAAGATTGATGCACCTTCGATGAAGCTTATCTCAGGTATCTTTGATCTTTTTATTTTATCTTCGTCTTCTTCCATTTCTTCCTCTATTCATCTACTTATTATGTGTTATCGTTGTGGCGTTGTTGTTGTAACAATTGTGATGCTGCGTGCAACCGTGTTGTTGTAATGATGCAAAAAATAGAGAAAGTGATGAGATGTTGCGGATGCTGTAGTTTAAGATAGAATAAGAGTGTGATGAAGTTATTGAAGTGGTTCAGAGAAGTGATGAATATTCAATTATGGAAGATAAAGATGGTGGAGTTCTTGATTCACAGATGAAGATGATGATGAAGGTGTGATGAAGATGCGAAGACGAGGAAAACGAATTATAGAGAAGGTTGTTACAGATATTTTTCTGGTTTTCTGGTGATGGAGGATGAATATTGAGAAAGGAAGAAGAGAGAATTTGAGAGAGTTTTTTTTTTTGTTTTTCTAATGGTGATTACTCCACAATTGAAGAATGAGTCGTGAATTGAAGGAATGAAGGTTTTTATAATCTGTTGGAGGTTGTTACAACAGAGCAACTCTCAGCCTTTGGATTGAAGTTAGTTACAGATATTGGATGTCAAGGATTAATTAATTATCAGGTTAGTTATCTAAGTTTTTATTTTGTTTTTTGTGTTAGTTTGGTGAGCTGATATGGAATCGAATTTTTCCTTATAATACTACAATCAGTTAATATGCTGACCTTTTTTCCCTATTTTTCTATTAATGAATTTGATTTGAATTGATATTCTGTTTGATTTATGATCTTTATTGATGCAAGGCTGTGGATTTTTATCAGTTTGGTCTTTTTGCAAGTATGGTTTATAAAAATGCAGGGTTGGTTGGTGTGTGCTTTAATGGTACAATGATTGGCATGAAGATGGGAAAAGAATCAGCCATGGTGTTCTCAAAAAATTAGGATAGGTTTTATTGTGTAATTTTTTGGTGTAATTATTGTAATGGTGTATGTGATTTTGTAAAAGACTTGTAATGGATTGATTTGGTTAAATATTGAATGTAGTTTTGAAATTTTTGAATAACATTTTTTCTCTGAAATGGTATTTGGATGAACCACGTACTTGGATTTGTTTTGAATAACAAATATGAGGTTTGGAAATTTTAATGATGAATGGTGACGATTTGAATGGTAACTTGAATAAATTGATTTGGTCATTTGAATGATGGTGAATGCTTTAATCTTGCACTCTTGAATTAATTCTTGACAAATCAATATTGATGCCATAGATAATCCATAAACCAAAATATTGAATCATTTTAATTGATCACTTGACAACATTGAATTCATATCCCACTTAAAAGAACATCTTACCACAATAACTTCAGTTTTTAATGAGCAAAAATAAAATCAACTCGCCTTCTTGCTAAACCCCCTATCTTAAATCTAAATTCCATATGAATTTCCCTACAAGCAACAAGAAATAAGCAATTGTGAGGACAACAATGCCTTGATCATAACCAATCCTCAACTTTCACTTTATGACTCCTAACTTGCACCTCAATCCTCAAATATGTCTTGACTTGGTGAGCAACATAATAGGAATGCCTTGAAGAACCCTTTGTTGAAGAAAGACTTGAAGTATAGAGAAACTTGACATGAACCCTAACCAATCTTTCATTGATGAATCAACAAACTTATTCACAAAAGATGAGAAATCCTAATCAAGAAGTACACCATGTGATGGTCTTACTCAACCTTAATTCAATTGATGAGCACACTAGTCGAACAAAACCTAACTTTGATCACACATTGGAAAATAACCCTAATAGCTTTCCAGCTTGAGGAGAAGGAGATTCAGAATAATCCATATTTCACAATCCTGATTCCTCAATTCAATGCACAGAGAAATAACCAGATGAATCAGAAGAAATTAACCTTTATTGAATATATACACCTCAAAACACTATGAAAACTCTAGCTCTAGGACCAATAATTTTATTGAACCTAGGTGTTTTATTAAATGAAAAAACATGTTATGTTAATGACCTGGTGGTATGTGTAATACGGTGAGAGAACTGACTTTTACTGGTTGTGCATTTTATCACAATGTTGCGGTTAGCAAGAGTCGCCACCAACTTTTCTTTTATCCAACAAAGGAAAGGGTGAAAAGAATAGGAAACACCTTTCGAGATTATTTTCGGAGTAAGGGGGGTAGGTTATGGAAAGGGAAGGTGTTAGCACCCTTTTCATCCGTAGCTATCTAAGGGCTCTTAGTTGCTAGCTCACTTTGAATAATGCTTTGTGTTCGTGTGTTTTGAAAATATTTTTGAAAAGACTCCTTGGTGTGGTGAACTTTGTAATGTTTCTCCTATCGCTGAGAACGTATACAAAGTGATTTGTCTTTGAAAATATTTTAGAGAAAAGTTTGTGCATGTGTGAAAAATTGTTTTATTTGTTTTTGTGAGCAAACAAATATGAACTGTTTACCTACTTGTTGTACCCCAAAATTTGCCCTCTCATATTTCTCAATACATGACAAGTGAGGTCCCCAAATTGCTCAAGGAAGTCCAAGAGTTGACCAGACAAACTCTCTCCTAAGGCAACATACCTCAAAGTAGGGTTTCATTTTTTATCAGGATATGTGAACCACAAAGGATTCAAATGCTCACCATTGTCATAATATGTTCTCAAGATCATCCATGTCAAGTTCCAAGCCTTGCAGAAGAAGTTTGCTCAGTCAATTGCTCAAATGTCTGAAAATCAACGGTACTAGGTCAAAAGTCAACTGTGGCCCACATACAGTCAAACTTCAATATTTTTGGTCAACATCCTCATTTTGAAGTATTATTCATCATTTTATCAAGGGTTGATCATGATCCCTCAAGGATTGCTCACAATTCATCAAAACCCAAAAGTTGCTAAATTAGGGTTTTGTAGGAAAAGTCAACTCAACTTTGACCAAGCATAACTTTCTTATACTTTATCAGAAATGACCCATTCAAAGCTCATTTTGAAGAGGATGCAATTATATACAATTCATCTTCAGCTCCAAAGTTTAAAATATGCACTCACAAAAAGATATGACTTTTGACATTATAGGTCATTTTGAAAAGTCAACAAAATGCCTTTTGGGTCAAAGCTTCATACATGAACATGGAATACTCAATTGAGATTAGACCAAAAGGGTTGCTTAGAGAACATCCTAAGCTTTCTAAAAAGTCCCAGAACACCTCTCTAGGATCAAAATTGAGAGAGTTATGCATTGGCCAAGTTGACCTTTTTTGCAAAATTGCCAAAAGTCAACATTGATCAAATTTACATTTTTTTCCAAAGGGGCCCATGTTTTCTTGTTTGAAACATATTTCTAATAGGACCCACGACCCCTGAGCTCTTCCACCTTTTATTTTATTATTTTTATCATTTATTTTGATTTTTTATTCATTTAAATCAAAATAAATCAAATGGTAAAATAATAAAATCAAATCAAATCTTGGATTTTTTGTGCATCTTTTGAGTCTATATATAGCTAGTAGGACAACCAATTCGTGCAAGATTGATTTGGGTGGAAAAAGATTGGATTGAAGCAAATTTGGAAAGATATCATATGCCATGAAAGACCAAATCAAATCTTTATAATGGGCAAGATTCAATTCGTTTTTGTTGACCTAATATGTTGAAATACATATACAGAAGGAATCCAAGGCAAGAAAAGAGGTTGAACAATCGTGCAGAGCAAGAGCAAAAACTAAAAAATTTCAAGAAAAAGTGGAGATCCAAATTCTGGAATAGAGGACCTTGGAGAGAAATTCAAGGCCAGAAATCAATTCCTTGACGTTTCAGGAAGCATTCCCAATCGTTCGCAGGCATCAGCATATCCAGAATCACTGCCTATCATTCTTACGGTTTGCACAAATATCCAAATTTGATTACTGTAATTCTCGCATATTTGGCATGTTTAAATTACATATTTGTATTCATCATCATGTTTGTAATGTTTCTGGATAGTTTGATTTGAGTTACAATGCAGGAATAAGCTTTTGCCATTGTTAGGGTTTCGTGCTCCAATTTGGGGTTTCAATTTTCAATCGAAATTAGACCGGATAATGGATACCATGACGATCAGAATTTCAAACCCAAGTGATCCATGGCCCCCAATTGAGTTTATATTGCATATGCTTGATTCTTGAATGACACAGGTTTCAGCAATAGACCTGCGTCTGTAGGTAAAGGTTCAGAGTGTAAAATGATGGTTCCAGGGAAGAAGACAACAGCGTGTCACAACTTGATTGGCTAATTCAAATTCTGGCACGTTATTTTGGCCAGAAACTTGTTTTTTCTGATATACTGTTTGTGTTTATTATATTAACAAGTTAACATCCAGCGCAGTTGGTCAGAAGAAGGAAGTCAGAAGCTCATTGTTCTGGGTTCGATCCCAGGCGTGGGCTTTTGGTATTTTCTCCTTTGTTTTCACCAGATCCAACACGTGCATCTTATGAGGAGCAGCATTTTCTGATCCACTAGCCAGGACCAGATCCAACGCATCACCTTCTGGATCCATCAGCCAGGATCAGATCCAGCGCCCCCCATCTTCTGAGGGTCACCATCTTCTGGACCCATCATCCAGAACCAGATCTGCTGACAGCAGGCCCACTCGATTATTTCCATTATTTTTCTTTAATTTCTTTTCTTTAATTATTCTGTTTTTTCATCAACACCAAAATTATTTTCTAAAATTAACCAACCAAAAATCACAAAAAAGGACTTATTTTCTTAATAAATGTTTTTCTAATTAATTAGTTTAATTAATTTAGGGCAACTTTAATTTCATTCATAATTAAAATTCAATTAGAAAATTAGGTTAATTCTTGATTTAATTTTTCTTTCTTTCTCAAATAAAATAAAAATAGGTTTTAGATTGAATTAATTTATTTTTTAAATTTAAAATTAATTAGAACTTAAGATTTTCTTCTTAATTTAACTATTTCATTACTTTCTTCAATAACAAAAACATTTTTTTAATCAATCACAATTAGGTTTAGGCAAGGGTCAAAACCCTAATTATCTCGTATTCGATTCATCGCGTGTGTTATTTATTTTTGCCAATATTGTTGTAACTGTTCATGGTTTGTAATAGTTTAATCTAGGACTTTTTACTTATCGCTTTTCCCCGGGTTTTTGGCTATGTAATTAATCCCCCTCCCCGAAGCCTTGTAATAGCGTAGATTTACTTTCTCGCATTTTAATTCCTGCAAATATTTGGCTGTTTAGATGTATACTAATAGGATTGTATGGCAAGAATGCATGACAAATTAATACGGTTAGAAAACCCTAATGTGAAAAGATTAAATAACTGAAAACAGATCACTCGCACATATCACTCTTAAGGTATACTTTCACTTCGGCTGCCTTCGATAAAAAGATCATTAGGTATAGGGTGTCTTAGTGGTTGCCCTCCTGTCTAAAAAGATCAAACGTCCCATTCAAATGTTGCCTCGGAAATGTTGCCTCGGAAATGTTGCCTCAGAAATGTTGCCTCGAGTCTGATCTTAAGACTCTAGGGTTATTACAAAGGTATCCTAACATTGCGTTAGTGATCGTACATCCCTTTCGAATTGACCCTTACAAATCCAACGACGGTGCTACTTATTTCTCAATAGTAGGATAGTGATGTCTAAAGGAAACAAGAACAAAAACCATCCTTTTTTTGAGTAGGTAGATGCTAGTAGGTACTTGCTCAAATCAAAACTTTTCACACTTACACTTTTCAAACAAATTTTTAAAACAACTTCGTCACATCCTTGAGGACTGATACAAGGGTTATCACGAAGTAAAACATTTTTCAAAAACAAAGCACACAAACACAAGAAATTCAAAAATGAGCAATTACCTAAGAGCCCATGGAAAACCATGGATAGAAAGGGTGCTAACACCTTCCCTTTCTATAATCTACCCCTCGTACT